CGGAACTGAAGGCCATACTGGAAAGTGACTACAACCAGTGTTTCGGTGTTTCGAAGATTGGAAAATCCGTTGGCATAATGTACTACAGATAGTGGGGATTTCTTTGAAGGGGATGAAATTGATTTGGGAGAATAAATAAAAAAATGTCAAAATAAATACATTGTCACCTTTTTTGGGCACAGGTATGTATATGTAATATGTTGTAGTTAATCGTAAGCAATAAAAAACTCAATTCCGAACATTTTTGTTGATACATTGTTTTGCATTTTAAGTGACGATATACATATATGTTTTCCTTTATATTAGTTAAATGTTACTAGAARTTATTGTTGCTCATAATGTAATGGTCAGCGGCTTTAATACCAATTGGAATATACAAATATATTCACATTTCCTAAAAAAATAAAARATCATTAAATTAATATAATTCTAGCTAACTTTTGATGTAAACCCTCAATCAATCAATCAAAAATAGTTGCTTTACTGCTAAATTTTCAAATCCTCGAAACTCTTATCAAATTTAAGCCCACGCCTCTGTTTGTAACATATGTGTACTTCGAGCTGTCTTCTTCTTTTTTCGCAATAAAATTTGTATTTGTGTGCCATAAATATAAGCGTGAAAAGGGGTTAAGAAGTTAAATTGAATGCAGACGTTAACTGTTCTTGTGATCTCAAAATTTTACGATGACATCAATGACTGCAAACGACGGCGGCATATTTATTCARCATTCTTTGTTTACATGCTTGCATACAAATACACATGTGTAAAAATATATTGTMTTATAAATATGTATRYGTACATATGTGCATATGTCAGTCARTATATTATTAAGAGAAACAGTGCAGGTAAATAACATACTGCTTGTTTGCCGGAATAACAATTATTCCAGGCATATAAAGAACAATACAGTGTAAGAAAATGTTTTTGCATGCATTTTAGATTGATCAAAACAAAAATAAAGTATATAAAAGTAAAGAGAAAATAAACAAAAAATTAAATAATAATAATTAATATTCTGTTTTCCTGCTAAAATGTTCAATTACACYAACTCACAAAAAATACATTTAATTTCTTTAAGTAGTCTGACAATACAAATGTGGGTAAATCCCAGCATTTATGATATAAAAATTTATAAATTCCAATATTTATCCAATATTCGTTTTACTTACTTTAAATTAAAGCAATAAATGAAGATTATTTGAGATATATGAGAACTAATTAATTTGCTGTTTTATTTATTTTTTATTGAGATTTCTCAWAGTAACACTCTCATATTGAGTCAAATAAAAAATAAATAAATAAATATATCCTGACGTAACATGCGGAACAACGTATTAACAAATTCGAAGCTGTTTTTATTGCTTACGATTCACTACTTCATACTACATTTATGTAGCATAACATTTTCAGCCTAAATCCGTTTCAGTTGTAACCAATATATACTCCACTTATAACCAAAACTCAATTTCTTTTTCAATGTCAGTGGTCCTTCCTTCGCCTGTAAACTTATGAAAAGAGCTGTTACGTTATTTTACATTTTACATGACGATAAGTAAGTATATGTGCATATCATGCATATTAACAAAATTTTAAGCTTCTCCTACCCGATACCTATAACCAAGTTGTAATCAAAAAAATTTTTTTTGTCAGTAGTAGTGCATGAGTAGCTTGTCTCTAAGTCTAGATAAGTTTTCAAACTTATGAAAAGTCATGTGACATTGCTTTGACAGACATTCTGTTCTAAAATGGAACAAAACTCTATATACTATTGTTTAGTCAAATGAAAAGGTTGTGTAATGCAAAATCATTAGCAAGCAATAAAAAAAGATAAACGTAACCCACGATTATTGACTTTGAATGSGGAGTTCAGTATCGCCACGCTTTGACTACGCTTTATTGTTGCCAATTGTCTTGAAATTGTATTAACTTGTTGGCATTGTTCAACTCTGTTCTACTAAAAACGRTTTAATGCTATAAAATAGATTTATGATATCATGGCTTCAAAGACTCATTATTGCATGGCGATCCATAGGTATAAATGTAGGAATGTTTTTTTAAGTTTATAATTCATTGAAGCGATAGCTGTCAAACCAACTGTCAATGSAAACACATGGTGTCAACAATTATGTGCCACAATAACATTAACACAATTATGTGTTATGGGTACATATTATAATATACTTTGGTAACACTAATTTAAAGTCATTTGRCGATTGTACTGTTAGACGCTGTTTCTTGCTAAATTTGGCTTGCGAAATMGAAAATTTCCTAAAACGTAGAACTTTTTGAGTTTTACTCAAAGAGTGCATTCCTCAAACCACCATCATTTTCTAAAATGAAAAAAAAAAAAAAAATTGCTGTCCGCGATAGAAACGTTTTTGAGTCAAATTCGTGAGGACACCAATACACACAAATACCTCACAGACCTTTCAGCATATTAGTTAAAATAAGGTTTTTTTTTTATTTTCTTACAAATTTGTTGAGTAGTACAATTTATCCCAATTAAGCCTAACAACGAAGAAACATTCAAAGCTTTTGGATATTTTTTTTCCAAAACTCACCAACWGCACGACAAATTTTGAAAGAACATCAAACTCATCAAAGCTGAGAAATCTTTTTTTTTTCAATTATTTCAGTAGTGATGGTGTTCCTTGCCATACAGACTTAAAACTCTCACTTTATAAGGATGGATTTTTTAACTCAATTTGAGATTAAATGTTTTTACTCCTAAAACGCACCCTCTAATTAAAGAAATCTATGATATATACCTTATTAAAATGATTAATGATTCAAATAATGGAAGTGAATAACTTAAAGCTACAATTATAAAATTAATAAAAATTTGTTCTTAAGATTTTTTTTTCATAATTTTGTCATTTCGAAACTGAAAGTGAAAGACAACRGACTTAAGATGAAGTAAACAACGAAGACAAACGTGAATTTAAATTTTTTGTAAATTTAAAAAAAGGATATTGGCATGTCTTGCCTGTCCTCAGGATCATAAAAACATCACTAATGATTCCAAACAAATTTTTACATTTTTTCCTCAGTGTTTTTTTTTTATAATTTAACTTGTTTTAATGGTTTTGAAATTTATTAACAATCCTCTCGTAARCATTAGATTCGAAAGGTTTACTAAAAAGGATGATAACTGGCACAAAATTGAAACCACACTCTTTTAACGAACATTAAGTTTAAATTGGGTCAAACTAATATAGGAATACCCAGAGGATTATCTGTTTGTTAAATACATAAATTAACAATGTTGAGAATTTAAATTGAGAAGTATATAAAGGTCACATAAATACAACACTGTTATACAGCAGTCCCAAAATTCAAATTGACCCTGGCAGCAAGTGAGCCTCTGTAAATAAGCTGTACGAACTAAAACCATTAATGGAACTGCACACTTGCGCAGGACAAGGAAGTAAATCATGTCAAGCTGAAGGATCTCAAAGTTATAGTTAAAAAAAATAACTCGGTGACTCGCACATGCTGTAGGGGTAGAGATCTCTATTCTAAACTCGGAAAGTGGAAAATATGCAAGATAGTTTAAAAAACTGAAAAGTTCTTTAAAGAAAAAAATGATTAAAGAGGACATCTTTGGATGATTGCGAAAAGATTGTTGGAGAGTAAAAAAATTCCTCCCAATGCTTGGTATCATCCGTCTCAGGTTCGAAAAGCCGGTTATTGTCGAATCTAATGTTTGATACTTTATTGACTTAAGTAGTTACATGGATTTACGGTTTCAAAAATTCGATTTTTTATTRTCGTATTAAATTTTATAACACCTCTAGAATAATGCTATAAATTTTTAAGTTAATCCGAGTAGTCGAGTTTCGGAGSTACATCCTTGAGAACCTGTGCTTTCGAGGCTAGCTAGGCTAAGTGCGCCGTCTTTAAAAAAGTTTTTCTCGAATCTGTGTTTTTAAAGTCGATTGGCCAAATTTCTCGAGAACTACTCAACCGATCTTCATGAAATTTTACACAGATCTTTGAGAAATAATTCTTAAATACTTGGATGTGGGATTTTTTTCGATTGCAACATTTGAAAAAAAAAAAAAAAATGGGGCGAAATTTTGATTTTTTTGTAAAAATGTCTGCCAAAAATTCCAATTTTCAATCCATCGTCCAAATTCTAAGTTAAAGTTTTAACTAATTGTATTTTTTCATGATCATAATGATCCTGTAAGGATATATCCTTCCAATATGGAGGCAATTTTTCCAAGGAATCACCTGAAAAGGCGTCGCAATAGCCAAGTTTAAAATATTCTTTTCCAAAAATTTCAGAATTTCTTTGCTAACAGCGTACTGTATTTGTAACAATAAAAAATTCTAAAAAAATGTTTTTTTTATATGAGAAAAATTGTTAAAAARGCATTTTTTATACGAGGAAACCCATGCAATCCCTTAAGTTTATTGGTAAAAATTTTCATTCTAAGTTTATACAACGAACAGAAGAAACCAAAAATGTTTAAAGGTTGTTTATTGAATAAATTATTGGAAATGTAAATATTTCTGAACATATTTTTAAAAGTTCAAAAGCATCACATTTAAGGTTGAATCTCCACTAAAATTTTATGAAAGAAAAATAKTTTTAATCGAAGAGGCTGTGATTTCTTCGACCACAGAGCTCAACATTCAACTACGACTAGCTCTATTTAAGATCTCGCTCCCGTACAAAAGTGAAATTTTGTTAAGAAAGTTGAAATATGGTTTTCAAAAACCAATTGCTGTTTTCGCAAATAAAAAGTTCTCATTTAACAACTTACCAACTAAAGGAGTGTGCAATAAACCAAGTGAAATTATCGTCTGTTTTCAATTTCCACGTACAAGTCACACTTACTGAAGACACAATTATTGTATACATACATACATACCCATATTAGACATTGAATATTGAACAACTGTTTTGAAGAGACTCACTGTAAGGTGTTTCCCAATGCCCATTTACGAATATTTTGTTCAAGATTTTTACTTTTTCTAAMAATTCACTTACCGCGTTTCTCCTCCATTGCTGCTTTGTTATGATTTTAAGTGGTGCTTTGGCGATACGATTTTTTGTTGATGGAAATAAATGTTTTCGCAATGCGAATTGTGTTTGCGATAAAAAAGTGTTTTCGTTTTTTTGTTTTTTTTTTTGTTTGACTTTTAATTTGGTGTTGTTTAGTAAAAATCACAATGGCACTTGTCTGCAATTAAAAGCGTTGCAAAATAACAACAAATCAGCTAACGAATGTGGGTTGACTATAGACATACGTGTTGGTGTGTGTGTATCTGTTTTTCTATGCGMAAATGCGCTCTTGGCACATAGTGGCTATAAGAAATGCGTCTGAGCTGGCAATCAATGAAATGAAAGTCACAATTAAATCAACGCTTCAACGCGCACAATAGAGTGTGTTTTTGTATGTATGTAGGGTGGATGTGTGTTGGTGGCTGTACAGGCGCGTGCGAGTGGGCGCCGTAAAATTAAAGTTAAAAGTTGGTGGATGGCAAAAATGAAATTAAAGAAAATAAAGTAGCAAAATTGTTTGTTGCAATTTCACTTGAGCAATTGTTGGCGTACACATATTGTCCATGCAGCGGCTGCAGCTAACTGTGAATATACTTAACACTATGCAACAAAAGCAAAAAATTGTTTATTAGTATTCGCAAAAATAAAGTGCTTGAATGGAAAACGAAAGTGCGGCTCGCTCAGCTGCCAAAGTGTTACGCTTCAATGGTTCATAGGTGTTTTGCAAAAAGTACTTTTTATTCATT